CAAAAAAGTAAAATACCCTTTCTTTAGGTACAGACGAACTGAAGAAATCCGACACTGTGTTTTCATCCGCACATATGGCCCTTTATAATCTTTAACTGGCAGCTGGTTCAACTCATTGGTATCACACACAAAGTCCAATTATATTTAGACACTAATTTATACTGTTTTTGCATGTTTGTCTCCCAATTTGAACTGTAAACAGCATGCAAAACAACGGGAAGCAAGCAGAAAATTTATGAACATTTGCAACAAGGAACTGATTTATTAATTTCCATGTTATTTGTGTCTATAACCGAACCTCCGGAGCTCTTTGTGCCAGCTCCGAGCCGAGACACTGCTCCACTGTTGGGCTAATAGGAGACAGATTGCTTTGCTCTGAATGCGATACGGAGAGGAGAGTTAGTTTATCTTGTTCAGACTGCTGGTCCCGAAGCCTGCTAATCTTATCCATACTACTATAATATGTCCAAGCTTCTTCTGTGATCTCATGGTCTGGAAGATTTCTGTTGGTTAGAGATGCCAAGACAATTACAGAACTTTTTTTTTTTGTTTGTTTTTTCCGAATAATCTGTACAATAAAGTATTTGTATGTGAATAATTACTCAGAACTAGTGATATAATTCTGGCTGCCTCATCATTGTTAAAGGGATAGTTCGGAATTTTGGACATTGGGCCTAATTTCCTAGTGAGCCAGAGTGTTGGAGACGTGTGGAGACACTTTTTAAAATATTCCATCCAGTCCTCGTATTTGCAGGTCGCTGGTGCTAGGCTAGTGCATGTCAATGGCCATAGTTATCCTGCCACTAAAAACAGTCTTACCCACTCCACAAAACACAGAAATTATTGATAGAATAATTTTAGAAGTAAACCCAACCTTGCATTTGAAGGATTTATGCCTGAGCAGCAGCAGCGAGTTGTACTTCCTGATAAAAAGCTTGGCAGCGGCGGACTGATATATGAGAAAATAGTCCCTCAACATGCGGCAATTCATGCGATGCAAGGTTAGTTTTATTTCAAACATTATTCTATCAACACAGACATTTACATCGACAGTCTGGTGTAATAATCGATTTGCTTTGGGTGTTTTGTGGAGTGGATAAGACTGTTTTTAGTGGCAGAGTAACTATGGCCATTGACATGCACTAGCCTAACACCAGCGACCTCTGCAAATACAAGGACTGGATGGAATATTTTACAAAAGCGTCTCTACACGCCTCCAACACTCTGGCTCACTAGGAAATGAGGTCCTTATGTCCAAAATTCTGAACTGTCCCTTTAATGATTAGGTAGCCAGAATTATATAATTAGTTCTAAATAATAATTCACATACAATTACTTTATAGTACAGATTATTAGGGGGGAAAAAAAAAAACGTTATGTAATTGTCTTGACGTCTCTAACCAACATTCACATTGACAGTCTGGTGTAATAATAGATTTGCTGCGGGTGCTTTTGCAGAGTGGGTAAGAGTGGGTTTTTAACTATTGACACTCATTGACATGCACTAGTCTAGCACCAGCGACCTCTGCAAATACAAGGACCGGATGGACTATTTTAAAAAGTGTCTCCACACATCTCCAACACTCTGGCTCACTAGAAAATGAGGTCCTATTTTCAAAATTCCTGACTGTCCCTTTAATATGCTACTTACGCATTGTTTTTTGAGTTGATAAAAAGTGAGAAGATTTGGTTTATCTTGGTTTTATTTCATTAATATACGGTACACAAAGTAACTTTTCTGGTGGAGGGTCTGCTGCTTGCTTGTCTCCATGGAAATCTAATTGCTTTGCCTGAAAATGTTCCACAGTAAGGCATTAAACCTACCTATCTTACAATTACAGGTGTGTTTTTTATTGCTAGAGATATCTTGAAAAACATACATTCATTTAAAACATACATTCATTTAGTGAGCAGGTTTGCCTCTACACAGATCTGGCTGGCTGGACTTGTCACTATGGAGAATAGGTTTAATGCCGTACTGTGGAACATTTCAGGCAACGCAATAACATCTAAGAAGTAGTTGCTGGACCCTCTACAAAAAGGTACATAGTGCATTTTTTTAACACGCTTTACAGGGAACACATGGGAATTGGGAATCTAACCCCAAACCTCTCTTCTCTGAGTACTACCACTTAACCATTGCCCCGCCTGCATTTTATTGTTTATCATTTGGAAACACCAGAAAATGCTGTTTATAGATAATTATTTTGATGCAACACCCTGACTTGAGTGCAATTTTGGCAGGACTACCCGCCCCTCCTTGAAAATCTACGGGGTGTGACAATGACTTGGAACCAGTCCCTCCCGTCTGCTCCCTCCAAGATCCAAACACGGGCCCAAACCCCACACACTGGCACGCTGCGCTATGGGAGATTTACTTCAGCTAATTACACATAATGATAACAGTGAATGATGCAGCATATTGATCCGGTTACAGCAGCTAATTTCAAGGCACATCCTCGGGGCATAGCAAAACACATGAGGTCATATGTGAACACTATTGCATTGTTGCTATAGCATAATGCAATACGGGAAAACCGGATTATATGGTCTTCTTGTGTATTGGGCGGATCATATGAAAGTGACGGCTGGTTTGGTTTCAGGGCCCACATGACATTTTTACAACATAAACCTCATTAGCGTGTTACATTTTCAGTGACACTTCAAATCCCTAAGCCAGTGTTTAAATACGGAAATTGGTTTGAAGATCACGTCAAGGCAACATGGATGCAATATTTACTTTATATGTATTTATATGAAGGCTTTGTATGTGTTTGTACAGTAATAGTTGACGGAGAGGATCTGAAGTTTAAAGTTCAAAATTGACTCTTGTGAGCGTTTAGTCATGTTAGAAAGTTTAGTCATGTTGCTGCCTCATCAGAAACATACGCAGAGTTTGTTTTATTTCATTCACACGTGATTGAGTAATCCTCTATTATTAGTCTGTCTACATCTACAAAGCTCAAAATACTCAGTTCCATCTTGAAACGCTATGGAGTGTTAGTTTTTAAGTTAACAGCTACCTTTTACCTTCAGTTCAGTAGAGATCGGCACTTCCAAATGAAATTGTATGGAGTTTAAAAACACAAACACAGTGGAGCACTTCCTGTATTGCCACATGACATCACAAGGTGGTAAAGTTGTAAGCATTTTAGAAACAAACTAAGTTAAATTCAATGTAAAGATAATAAATAAAACTGATGGCCGTCTCCCCTCCCACGCGACCCACCGGCATGCTATTGTCTCTTCCTGACAGCTGCCCACGCCCACAGATCCTCCACCAGAGAAATTATATAGTGCACCTTTATTTTATTTTTATTTTGGAAGTTTTGCACTCCTGCTGATCAACCTTGAAAAATGCCCCATGTCCGTAATACATTTTTTTGCTTGCAGTCATGCTTTTTGCTCATAGTCATGCATAAAATTGAATTGCCAAATTTGGTTGTGAGCTCATTTAGACCAAAAATCAGGGAATAGTGGCATTTTACAAACATACAGTCAAAGCAGTGGCAAATTTTTTATCCAATATGGCTGACTGTCTGTTCATCATACTTCTAGGCCAGGGGTGTCAAACTCATTTTGGTCCGGGGGCCGTCTCCAACCAACTTTGATCCCAAAGGGGCCGGATCAGACATTCATGTCATATAAACCCCAAAATAACAATAAGTTCAAATATTTGTGCAGAGAAACACAAATCTATTACAGAAATATTTTTTAATTGATGAACTCTTTCTTTTACAAAATATTATAATATTATTAACAACCTGAAACTTGAAACCTGAAAAATGTAATTTCAACACAATGTTTTAACATGAACTTGTATGTAAATAGGAATAAGTCAATTTTTCTTGTAAAATCCTGCACTCGGCTCCACTTTTCTCATGTTGGACATTTTGCTGATGAGGGTGTCACGGTCAACAGTCAAAACGATCGTCCTTTAAGAGCGTTTGGAAAGAGACAAGTCTTCATTTGTGCTGCTCTGGTGGGAGGGGCCACGTACAGAGACGCTGGAGACGCTGCTGTGATAAACACCGCAGAAAATTAACAAGATTTTAATAGAAAATATAATTAAAATATTTTAGTAGAAAATCAGTCGAGGGCCAGATTAAAGGTCTTGGAGGGCCGGATCTGGCCCCCGGGCCTTATGTTTGACACCTGTGTTCTAGGCAGTGCTGTGGAGTCGGGTCATTTTGGGCATTGTCACGATGTCTGTTTTATAAAATGTTTCACCAGACCTGTCAATCCCATACCCAGTTTTGGGGACTTTTCGTCGACGTTTAGCCCTCAAAATCTCTATCGTTTGAAAGGAAAAACAATAATGGAGAAGAAGAGACGGGCAAAAAAAACCCCAAACATATAGTGTGTTTTTACCTGATTGTGCACATCACATTAACCATTCAGAAAGTTTGTCTTCATAAAGATGGTCACGTGCTAAAGGTAATATGTGTGAAAGTGAAGACTGTTGCCTAATCCGTACTAACTAAAATCAACTAAAAGCTTGTTCACAAACTGCTCTGTTCAAGGTAATGTGTTTGCTTAAATGCTGAATCATTGTGTTCTAGTCCAAGTTAGAGTCTGTTTTCCTTTAGAAATCAATCAACACTAAAATAAACCTGTTAGCGGAGTTGCTAGATGCTACAAACATTTCAAAGTGCTTGCAAACAATGGCACCTCATTATCAGATTCCCCAAATTCTGTCTGAGAGAGTACCAAGATTTTTGAGGACCCTTGAGACAAAACACAGCATTCTCGTGGAGAGCGATTCTGAATTTTTACTTCAGCTAGACATAAAAATATTTGGGAAAAATAATTGCATGAAAATATTTTGAGATGCTACCATTCGAGGCTAATAAACATGAAACTCTTGTCTTTCTATTATATTTTTTCATATTTTTTGAATCTTACGAACTATAGTATATAAATAAAAATTGTCTGCAGTATTTTAATGTGAGTAAAGTTAAATATATATTATTTTTTTTTTTGTTGGCCGTGATATTTACCTTTAAGGCTAGTTTATTTTGGAAGTCGTCCTTCAGCTTGTCCAAGGCTCTCTGGTGTGATTCTGTCAACATGTCCCTGTGAAAACATTGAGAAAAACATGAATACTGTGCGCTGACAAATATCTGGTCATGTTTTGTGCTGATAAAAATAAAAGAATGTCAGACACGCATCGCGAAAATGTGGTCAGGTCAACGGCAACCTCTGAAACTAAACAGGAAATCTGAGTGTCAAAGTCTTACGTGACATGTTTCATTATGACAGGAATGAATAGAAGAGACTTCAGTTTCTGACTGAATGTCACCCAACCTCTTAACATGAAAACGAAGATAAATAATCCGATACAATAATAAAAGTTTACATTTGACTGTGTGTAAAACCTGTACCATGATACTGAAAATGGAGTCTGCATGGGAGTTGTAGTGTCATAGTACTTGAGTCTCGAGACCAGTCTTGGTCTCACGGCCTTAAGACCTTTTTTGGGGGTCTTGGTCTCGCCTCGGACTCAACTGTGTTTAGACTCGGTCTTGTTTCGGTCTTGAAGGCGCTTGGACTCGGTCTTGTTTCGGTCTTAAAGGCGTTTGGACTCGGTCTTGTTTCGGTCTTGAAGGAGCTTGGACTCGGTCTTGTGTCAGTCTTGAAGGCGCTGGGACTCGGTCTTGTTTCGGTCTTGAAGGCACTAGGACTCGGCCTTGTCTCGGTCTCGAGGTCTGACACTTGACGAGTGATAAAATGGAGATAGATTTATGAAAACTCTGATATATATGTGCCAAAATAACTGTCAAATGCAAATAAATGTCAAAAATTACAAAGATGGTCTTGAATTGGTCTTGATGGGCCCTGGCCTCGGCCTTGTCGTGACCTTTAAAAGTCTTGGTCTTGGTCTCGATTAGCGTGGTCTTGACTACAACAACAGGGAGTAGAAATGTCTTGAAAACAGTGTACAGATGACTACCTCTGAAACCTTCTCTACATTACAATCATGGACTGTATAAAGAAGTGAACTCTAGTCAAATGAAGTTTGTGATTCTCGTGGTTACAGGGGTGAATTTGGGGCCAGGCTCTATATTTAGGACTTTAACGGACAAAATAATGAAATAAAAACATCACACTCATGTAGAGCGAACATTTTAAGACCAAAATGATTGGGGATTCTCAAGGTGGCATAGTCTCACGCATCAAGCCTAACTAAATGAATGAATACAGTAGCAGAGCGAGTGACACAAATCTCCAAAGAGATTTCCTCAGAAGCTCTTCACACCTGAACATCCGGACGAGCATGCCAACCCTTCATCCATCAGTCACGATGCAGAACGCTCTCACAATATTTACACATGCCACTCTTGTAATGACCCTTTCAGCAAGTCAGGCAGCATAAAGCATATTTAACACACGCACTCCCACAGTCTCAGGGGTGAGGGCTGCAAAGAAGTGTCTGAAAAGTGCAGATAAAAAGCCCGGCGCTGCTGCTGAGAGGAGATGGAGCGCGGATAAGCACCAAGGCTACACTGAGCATTGATTTGTTGATGTTGGGGCCAAAAGTAATGTGTCATTTCAGCAGCTGCTTTGGACGATAAGACGGGAAGCAAAAATATTAGGGATGTGTTGAGGAATGGATGACAGTGTTTGGGATGAATAGGATTAACACTTGTTCTAGTGAGACCTCAAAGAAGCTGAGAGGGGAGCGGATTCTATTAGGCTCCAATGGAGAGGATAATCAACGTGGGTTTGAGCACTTTACAAGACAATTTGGTGTGTAATCTGTTTTCATTTGTGATGGAAACAAGGGCCCTGTTCTGTGAATTCATTTATGTTCTTGCTTATTGTCACCTCCCACACCACATCTCCACCTCTTCATCACCTCCAGTGTACAAACCTCAGAGACAGAACTGATTCATTGCACCACACTCAGATTACATCAGTTTCTATTTTACATTAGTTTCTATATAACACGCAAGTCCAGGTTTGTTGTTCCAGAAAACATCATAACAACCCACTAAATGTAAAAGGCACATATATCTTGTATTGTTGTTGACCTTTAAATACGCTCTTGAGAACCTTTGCTTTGGCAGAACTTAATGCATATGGTTAAAAATGCAGAATATTTTTTTCCTTTGCCTGGATCATCAGTGAGAATTAAATGATAAATGGTCTCATTTTTATGTAGCTCTTTTCCACTTTCAAAGCACTCACCCATTCACACATACATTCATACACCAGTGTACACAGACACTGGGAACGAGGGGGTTTAAGTGTCTTGCATAACAACACAACAACACAAGGACACAACAACAGCATTCATCTGTGGGCACCGGAATCACACTGCCAAACTGTGGGCCAGTATATGTAGAGAGCCGGGATCTGAACCGCCAACCTTCGGATCAGTGGACAAACACTCGCCCAACCATGAAAATTAACCAAATTAACCATGAAAACCCCCAAAGCTATTTATTTAAGTACAGCGACTGACATGCAAATATTAGCATAATGGAGCACTTTAATGACAAAACAAGTCTGGCGATGATTTATGCATCTACAAACAGCACCCCAGACCACCATATTTCTACCTATGACGTCACAATCCATGGAAAATTTAAACAATGTGATTTCTGACGCTCGGAGCAAGACGACCTGGTAAAAAACAGTATTAATGAAACTAAACACAATGTCAGGTATGCTTTTGATGAGGGAATATTACAACATGATTAAAAGTCCAAAAAAGTGTATTTGGTATGATATGTGTCTTTTAAATACGCCTTGAAATTTGTGTTAGCATCAGTTTGTCATCGTCTATTTGACATAACTTTTCCTCCACCAATTTGAACTGGAAAATTAATTACTTAAACTCTTTTATCTTCATTTCAGTATTAGGTATGGTAAGGAAAGTGATCACATTACATAATTTAGGGTTAGTGTTTAAGCTGCAGATACAATTTTATAATTTTTAAGAAACTGATTTTGATTTCAGTAAAACTCGCAATGATTGACACAACAGCCTGTCAATCTGCTCTTACTACATCTTCATTACAAAACAACATCCAGAAGTTTACAAGGGAAGAACTCATTTTCATCCACGTCCTTGCAGTGTATTCCAAAAACAGGCTAATGAGCGGAGAAATATTGCATGCGAGTTGAAAGGCCTTTAGTGGCGTGCCGACAGTGAATGTGATAAAGTATTAGATGTTCTAGAATGTAATAAAGAGCAGCAGTAGACTTGAGAGCCAGGGCAGACACAATATTATCCACTCCACTGGCTCTGGCTAATCACATCAGCCCACTCACTCCCATACGCCGAGCAGACAGACACGCACGCATGAATGAACCCTGAAGAGAGCCTGTTTGAAGCCAACATCTGACTCGGAAACTCATTTGAATGCATTTTGGGATGGAGAATTGAAAGAATAGGAAGGATTACGTTACATGTGATGCCATAGCGAAACCGTAACTTTATAATGTTGTTTGAGCCAAGTGGGGCAAAAATACTACACTCAATTTCTCTTGCCAAAAGGCGCATGGTTGATTAATGTGTAGTCTACATTGTGGGTGTATGTGAGAGTTTTATAGCTCTTTATCTGCTTTGTAAGCAGCTGGCCACTGTCCAAGGTGTATTAGGACCATTAAGAAGATACGCTTCCATTACCTGAGAACATTAATATTAAAGGGACAGTCCAAAAATTTGGACATAGGGCCTCATTTCCTAGTTAGTGTTGGAGATGTGTGGAGACAGTTTTTAAATATTCCAGTCCTTGTATTTGCAGAGTTCGCTGGTGCTAGGCTAGTGCATGTCAATGGCCATAGTTATCCTGCCACTAAAAACCGTCTTACCCACTCCACAAAACACCCAAAGCAAATCTATTATTACACCAGACTGTCAATGTAAATGTCTGTGTTGATAGAATAATTTGAGAAGTAAAATCAGGCTTGCATTTGAAGGATTTATGTTTGCAGCAGCAAGTTGTACCTCCTTATAGAAAGCTTGGCAGTGGCGGACTGATATATGAGAAAATAGTCCCTCAGCATGCAGTGATTCATGCGATGCAAGGTTAGTTTTATTTCAAACCTTATTCTATCAACACAGACTTTATAAGGAGCACTTAAAATCCTTTAATTTTCTCAAAAATCGACAGTGCTCCTTATAATCCGTTACACCTTATGTGTTAATTCTGTTTGTGCTTACTGACCTCGAACCGATTTTATGTGGTACACGGCGCTCAAAAATCTGTCAAAATGTTTTAGTACGACTTTAGTAAGATACAAAGCCGCACCGCTTGATGGACTGTCAGAGCATTAAGTCTACCGTAGTCAGGAGCCTTGAGAAGTAAAGGGCGAAGTATAGTTCTGCATTGGCATTTATGACATCAATGAAATGCTACAAAGAATATATGTCCATTCATATTTACAGTCTATGTGTATGACCTGCAGACTTATAATCTCAGAAAAGTTTCACATGAACCATCTCCAATGCGACAGAAGCACAGAACAGACTCACCAACCGCAACACATCTTCTGTTACAGAGAGAACGCACATATTCCATTGAGTTGTGTCCTTTAGCCTGACAGAAGTTCACCACATCAGCGCACAAGGAGCGAGCTGTTTTTTTCAGCGATTATAGTTTATGCAAATTAGCCATATGGTTTTAAGTTTAGTTTCTGTAAAATGTAAACAAATGTGTGCAAAGCTGCATTAAATACATTATTACTCAATGTATATTTGAGTCCTCCTCGTATGAAATAAAAATCCAAAGTTAATTCATCCACCCACATTCACATTCTTAATACACATTCACCAAGACAGAGAGGCAACGCTGGGCGAATTATGCCACGATCTGCCAATGGATCATGGATGCCTGGGCTAAGAGATCAGTCTCAAGTGTCGTCCGTTTGTTTTGCATAATGTGTCTTATAATCCGGTGCGCCTTATGTATGAAAATAGACAAGAGAATTCAACATTATTGATATTGGTCTTATAATCCGGTGCACTTTATAGTCAGAAAAATACAGTACTTCTTATGTTTTATATTATTTTCAATGCAGTTTCATAATTATCATGTATAATAATATGCTTACATTTTAATTTA